AAACTATGAATAATAATTATAAACAATAAAATATAGTCAAAATGGATCTTGTTAGACTTCTTTTATATTAAATAATATAATTTTATAATTTATTTTATTTTTAAAATAATATAAATGTAATAAAATTATATTTTATGAAATAAAATTAAAATATGGTAAGGATAATTTTGTATTTCCAAAACAGCTTTTCGCAGAAGTTCCAAATCGGAGGTTCTGCTTTTATGTTATACAAAAGTGTTTTTTCGGCTTTTTGAAAACTGAGCTTTTAGAGGTGTTTGGCCATGTTTCAGCTTTTAAAGGTAAAAAGCACTTCTAAAAGTCGGGTCAAACATAGGCAATATGAATTGGTGATGGGATTTGGGAATTTTTTGTAGTTTGAAACCTTGAGTTGGTGGTGGATTTATGATTAATGGCTATGTTACCTTAATTTGTAGCCCTCGCATTAATTGGATTTATGATTATATAAAATAAATAAGATATAATGATCATTTTGCATTTTGGATCTAGCTAATCTCACCGGTTGAGCGAAATTTTTTCAAACTTGTGGAGTCCAAAATTTGGTAACTCAAATTTCAAACAAACAATAGATGATCAGAATTATGCAATCATCTCGGATCAGTTATGTTCTCTATTTTAAAAAACACGGACGATAAAAAAATTTCATGTTCGAAAATAACCACATGGCTAATTTGCTTGCTGAATAAAGGCCACCAATATCCTATAGGCTTCCATTCTTTTGGTAGCAATGATCTATCTAGACCTCCAACATCCGACAAACTTTAAAGTTTGGTACCTTCGAGTCTCTATTGATTAGTATATTATGGTTAGAATACTTTCGTGTGTGCGTAAATTTTCTTATAACACAATAATCCAATTAACAAACGACCGCTTTAACAAGTAATAATGAACAAAAATGTGAAAATCCAAATTATGATTTGGTAAAATATATGTGTGTGTGTGTTGAATTAGTTAACGGCTGTTTTTAGGGCTTTTCAATTACACTATGGAGGGAATGGGATTGGCAATTGGGTGATATACAGTTATACACAGAAAGCAAGACTTGAAGAAAGAAGGAAGGAGTGAAAACGACAAAGGTGCAAACATTGAGAGAGCACAATCAAATAACCCTAGGAAATATGGGAAAAGAGAGAAGAAGAAGAAGAAGAAGAAGATGCAGAGCAAGTAGAGGGGTTGCAGCGCCAGTGAGTCAAAATGGAGCAGAGGGCCATTGATTCGATGCGTCCACATCCTGATGCTCTCTCTTTCGCCAGACGACAACTCCACTCCATGTGTGTATTGTATATATATGGCTCCCATGGTCTGTCCGAGTCAAACTGACCAAACCCTAGAAACAGAGGGAATGCAACAAACAGCAAACGTCCAAACACATATAGCGATACTATATATATATTGATCATATATGCTAACTACTGGTTTAGGTCAATTCGATTATGATGCTCACGGTGCATTTATGAAAACGTGTTTACAATATCTTACGTTCATTAGACAATTGCAGAACGGTCACTTCCAATCCGACGGACGCGGGCAGGTTCTTATAGACACCGTGGGAACAGAATATCGAAGAAATTGGGTTTATGTTGCTTGGCAGGTTACTCAGTTTGTTCTTGTAAGGAGGAATGCTTGGATAGATACCATTTCGATTTCCCTAACTTCCTTAGCTCCATCATTGAAAGGGCTACATTAATGACGAGGAACCCCCGTTCTGTTTATCGCATGATTGGCGCCACTTCCTTAGCTCCATCATTGAGAGCAAGCTTGTTACACCCAAGCATGCAAATAGTCACATCCTTGTAAAGTGTGAATGGCTAGATGGTATAATATGCCCCTCTATTATGATGTTTTATCAAATATGTTCCTCTACTATTTTTTACATCATACATGCTTCTATACTTTGAAAAAATTATCAAACATGCCTTTCTGTTAAACTTTCCATTGAAAAAATCATCAATCATGGTTGAACTGAGATTTAGACGACCCGACATCTGCAAATAGGAGCGAAAATGTCAGTTTTGTCTCCCGTTTTATTTCTCTGGGTCTTTTCAAAGTTAAATTATTTGGCTATACAAAAAAAAAACAAAAAAAATTCTAAAGTGAAATTATTAGGGATATTTTAGACATTTGTGTCACCCAAACCAAACTTCGGCCTTGGTTAACGGTTTTTGGATGGAAATTTTAACAGAAGGGCATGTTTAATAACTTTTTTCAATGTACAAAAGCATGTTTGATGTAAAAAATAGTTGAGGGGCATGTTTGATAAATCGTCATAATAGAGGGGCATATTTTACCTATAACCATTTCGCAACGATTGGGATTAACTGCGATAGGATAATATCAACTATGCATGCTTTTAATTTGGTGCTAGCGCCTTCTAGCTCTCACATATTCTTTTTTTTTTTTTGTGAAAAAATACCAAAATTTTGGTTCATATATGGATTAGGGATATGGCAATCAAATCCATTGTGGTTATCTGATCGTTCACGACCTAGTTATGCAAGGAATCCATACATTGATTTGTTATCAGCAAAATTCGGAAAAAGTTTGAAGGGAATGGAGCTGTATGATTTTAGCCTTCCACGTCTCATACACATACCCAACCATCAAGAGTATTTCTTCAAATATAAATAATATATAGATCAAATATTAACCTGTCAATGATAGTAAGGGTAATTGAAGAAAATAAATAGTATAAATACAACTGAGTGGCTATCCAAATCAAAACGTAATTCATTTTCCTCATTTCTCTCTTAACTCTTTCACTTTTCCCCCTTTTAACAAAACTATGTTAGTTGTTTATTACTTAGTAGATGTATTAGAGTCAGATAATAATACTTTTAAAATATAGTATATTTCTGAATTAATAGATGTTTTAAGATTAGAAGTTTTGAACCTTATAATGAATGATTTGTATCTTTATTGAGTTTATGATATGGTGAGTCCATTTAGTGTTGTAACTGAAAATTTATATGTAAAATTTTAGGTATAATAATCTTGGATGTACGGGGCGGGTATTACTCATGGATACCCGTAAAACACGGTATGGAGATGAGGTTGCAAAACCTTTCCCTCGTGGATATGGGGTGAGTATGGGTTTTGTAGACACCACATTTTGTCCGGGATAATTGATTTATTGAAAATAATTATTCTAACATCGTACTACGATTATATTTAAAAGGGAAGTTGAAGATAGTTTGGTTGAGACTAGCAGTTGCAAGTCAATATGAACCAACAATTATCAAATTTGCTCCTAGTCGATTCTAGGGCATAGTTAGTTAAGATAGGATCAGTTTAAGTTAAGATTAGTAGTGGCGAATCTTAAATACAATTTCTCATTTAGAAGAGAGAAATGATTATAGTGCAAATTTGGTTGCTCGAGTTTGGATTTGGATTCGGTATTAGTAATGGAACAAATTGAAGCTTTATTATCAAAATTTCAAAGTTGATACATCGTACAACTAGGGTACTCTGAATAAAGCAAGAATTAAATGACTAATGCTAACTCTACAAAATTTGGGCCATGCAATTTGATTTGTACATATATAATTACAAAAAGAGAAACACTTGGGCCTTGAGGCATGAATCTGGTCCACTGGCCCAGCTTTTTCAATCAACGAAGCCCAGATACCTGAAAAAATGAGAAGAGACCATTTAGTCCAATTACAGATCTGATTAAGCCCAAGCCCAAGTCGGCCCAAACCCAAAGCCCAATTCATCCTAACCAGTTCGGTCCGAAAAGAATAACCATAAACCGAACTTGACCAAATCGGTCTAACCAAATCCTATCCACAGCCGACCAGGCACACTCTTCAAAGTCATATTAAAAAATGGACGAATTATATAGTGACACGTGGCCGTTCGGTTTGCTTTAAATGAGCTCCTGGAGCTCTTTGTTGTAGAGGGGAAGGATTGAAAAAAAAACGGGCAGAAATAAGAAGAAACATTCTAATCTCTTCATCACAACACCAAACTGAGTAGAAGATGGAATGGAGCAGCATCAGGGAATCGCTCTGGAAGCAGAAATTTTTAACAAGGTTGGTGCTTTTAACTTTGCTTCCATGATTCTAGGTAAATTTCATCTCATTTAGCATGATTTCTATATAATCGTCTACCAATTTGCCTACTCATATTCAAGCGATTTATTTTACAAACCCCTTTATATTCAAGCAATCTATTAACTCATAATAAGATTTGCTCATATTAATTTCAGCATCAAGCTTCTTTCAATCGAGTATTTACTTACTTCTCACATCAATTAATGGTCTAGTTTAATTTTCTACCATACTTTCATATTCCCTTCTAGTATATAGTTTATAAACACTAGATCATCATACATAAACAAATCAAATCAAAATCCAAATATAAGCAACCACATCACACTACGAATTTTTGATTCACAAACCCTTACCAAGTTTAACAACCAAAAATCATAATCTAACAAAATCACAAGCAGTAGCAGTGATTCAGAATCTATAATTTAGTTTAATCAATAGCAGCAGTGATTTAGTCCATAGTCTAGCAAAAATCACCAAAAGTGGCAGTGAATTATACTCGCTAAGATGAGTGATTTAGAGCATGTTAATTACATCTCCATCACAAAAAAATCCATTTTTGGCGATTTTTAGTATGTCAAAATCCCAAGCAGTGGCCCATTTTCGTACGTTTATTTAGCAATTTCAAGCACAACCAAAATTCACATCCGCCACCATCCACAAACCCACAAAAACCAAAATTCGACATAGTCAAACTCATTGACAACCTTACCCCCTAGTTCTCGAATTTGCATATCATCTAGATCTATTGTAGTGTAATCGACCTTTTAGTTTTAAATCTCTCAAACCCAAATTAAGAGAGTTATAGGAGAACTACCTAGATCTGTTTTCTTACCTGCATCAATACAAGAATAGAAGTCATAATCAATTGAAGGGTTATTAAATCAAAAGTAAAAAAACAAATATATAACAAAAAAAACCGTACCTGTGTCGTCGTCGGCCTGTCGCCGCCGGGGATCCTCGGTGCCCGACGCCCCTTATCCCTCGACCAAAGCCCTCGCATAAATAAAAACCAAAATAAAATATCGGTATCCTAACTTTGAATCTAATATCAAATAAAACCCGAAAAATCGACATGCAATAAAAAGAAAATGAACCTTCGAACTCCCTTCTCGTCGCCGTCGTTGTTGCCGTCGGTGGTGTATGTCGTATCGTCACCACCGCCGCCCCATGTCGTCGTCGTCGTCGTGTCAGAGGGAGAGTTCCCTCTCGTTTCTTCTCGTCTCAGAGGAGGCGGAGGAAGCAGAAAGAGAGCTAGGGCTTTTGGTTTCTCCTGGGAGAGCAGAAAGAGAGAAGAGAGAGAGGCGGCGGTGAGTGGTGATGAGTAGGTTTAGTTTCAGAGAAGAAGAAACGAGAAGAAGAGGATGGTGGCGGCTGTGTTTGACGATGGGGGTTATGGGTTTCGCTTCTCTGGAAGAGAAGAGAGAGAGAGGAGAGAACGGCGAAAAAAAAACGAGAGAGATAGAGAGAGGGGCGAGAGATGAGGGTTTGATGCGGCGGCTGTTAGGGTTAGGGTTAGAGGCAAATTTATACCCACCCGAAAACGACTAAACTACCCCTAGGGTTTATGGTTTATTACTTGGCCTTGCCACCGCGTTTTTGGTTATTTACGAAAATACCCTTCCCCCTTCTCTGAAATAAATCGAGAAATAAAAAAAATCTCCCCCAGCGCGTGTCGAACCCTCGTCCTCTAGACGAAGACGAGTTTAGTCTGGCTTTTTAGCCAGTTGGGCTGCCGGCCCAAAATGCGTTAACATTATCATCCCATTTAATATTATTTGTTTTAAAATCCCTAATACGAAGTGTTAAATGCGGATTAAGTTTACCTCGTTTCTTTTCCAATACGAGTCAAGCCTCTTCCTAATAACTTAAATTATTATATTCTCTTTTCATAATTTCATAATAATCAAATTAAATTTTATTAACAAAATTCTTAATACGAGAACCACGATCAGCGGAACGTGGTAGTAATTTTATCCAAGTTCAGCGAACTACGTGGACTTTGATCCCGTCTTACGGGTACGTAGGCAACCGATAAGGTTCGAGTCCAATTAATCAACTAACTTTATCTTTAAATTTTTACGTCAGTGGGCGTATAATTAAATTACAACTAATATGATTAAATCATTAAATGGTCCAGTGGGACCCTAAGATTACAAAATTTTTACTAAAATACACCCAATTTGCATAAAAACTTATCGACTTAAGTAGTACCGATATAGGGCGTTGTGGGGGTGTTGCTTAACTTCCCCACACGTAACCGTACTCCCGAACCCGGAACTTCATTTTCGCAGACCATATCTCTCGGTTCTGACCCTAAGGTTAGAGCCGATCCTAAGAGTGTTCGATCCACTCCAACTAAGATCGATGGCGACTCCCAAAAATGCCGACGCGACGACATTCGGACCCCCCGGACGGGACGGTTGCGACAGTTGGCGACTCCGCTGGGGACTTCGAGAGTCAAGCTACATAATTAAGTTCGATAAGTTTTCTATTTTCCTATTAAATGTTGGGTGTTTACTTTCTTATTTGCGCAATTATATTTTCGCAATTTAATTTTGCATTCATGCATAAAAAGCTCTATACCCGAGCTATCCTTTTAGAAAATTGAAAGGAGTACCGTGACATCCACAATAGTGGTAGTCACGCAAAACTTTCTAACCAAGTTGAACTCGGATCCGAGGATGATCTCGAGGTATCCAGCCAGTTCGAAAGAGCTAGGGCGGGATACAACTTGGGAGCCAAATCCCTAGGAATTCCTTAACCAGCATATAGTAAACTTCGAAGCTACCCTCGACCATCCAAAACAATCCCCAAAGCCACCCTAAAACCATATCGGTACGCCATCTGAAAGCCCTAGGTCTACCAAATAGGGTAATGATGTAATGATATATGTTTGCTTATCTAAATGTATGTTTATTTACGACGTAATGATATGCGTTTTGTCTTTTACTCGTAAAACTGTGTGATTGCATGAATGAAAAACGTTTTCAAAATTCATAAACATCATTCTCTCATAAGATTTTCATTCACTCATTAACAACTTATCATAAGAAGATTAAAAACGCATGCACGAGACGACAAATGAATTTGAATTCATACATCATTAACATTTTGCATAAGCATCACGCATACACTATCATAAAAAGAACGGAAATAATTTGACAATATTGAGACAACCCAGGTCTCCTCAAAATTGCTCTTCCTCAAGGAAAATGCAAATCCTTAAACATCGACAGGATCCAAAGTTACGCTAATTTTGGAGTCACTATAGAGGGAATTATACTTCATCAAAAGAAGGTTAGCGACACTTGAAGAAATGAAAGAACATGTGAGCATTTTCCAAAAGGCTTCGTCCAAAATTTGAAGAAAATCACGACTCATTGCTGGAGAACAACCACAACTTGTAGCCCAATCAAGAAAATCGTTAGGCAAGCCACAAGGCAAACCTCAATGCATGGATGATGTTGATTATCATCAACTAATCGAGACATTTTACCTTGTTAAAGTTGTATCAGTTTTGCTTGCATCGTCATGAATAAAAGATCTTTCAATTTTCGACCTCTTTGGAGCATTGTGTGAATAGTATCAATCTTGAATTAAGAGTTCGCATCAATGGGTTTTTTTTTTTTTATCAAAATAGCGAAAATCACTTCGGATTTTTTTCTTTTAAAACGGATTTATCTTCTACAAACATGAAAGCCATCAAAATCCAGTTTTATTTTCAAGCTAAAGCCATGAGATTTTCATGCCAAAAAAATGTGAGTACCCCACTGGTGCTGAGATTTGGGACACCCCACTGGTGTCAAGTGATTATAAACACCATGCTACTGTAAATAATTTGAACACCCACTGGTGTTATGAGTGTACGTGTTTTGCTAAAATCGAGAGATAAACACCCTACTGGTGACCATGAATAGTCAAAAGGTGTAATGAGTATACGGCATCATGCTACTTGTAGAATCTCGTCACCATTATAGTCGACTTTCACCACCAAATTGAGGCTCAGTTTACGTGAAGTCAAATAGCCAAACCCCGATGCACATGGAGCCAAACATTTCTATAATAGCAAGAAAACCCTCTCAGAGTCTCACGAGTGAAGCACTCATATATACAAACAAGCACATTGCGTCAGAATCCTTGCTTGTACGGAAAAAGAATAGTCTATTCAACCTAGCCAACGAGAAGAGGCACCCACATTATCAATCATCAAGACAAACTCTCCACTTTTCGATACTACTCCTACCAAAGACAAATTCTAGATCAAGGAAAATGAGAAGCACATATGTGGGCATACCATAGCCAAGTAAGTCCCGCACGAAGAAAAAGCTGGAAAAAAAAAGAGAAATATTTTGTGGGACTTACAAATTAGGTGCCCCTAATTAAGCATTTGAAATATCAACCGCATGCACCAAGTCAAGGTCTTACAAGGAAAATATAATGACCTCAAGCCAAGACCTTCCATGATAAGAAAGCCTTTTCGGCCAAAATCACTTCGTCCCAGATATTCATCATTTTGAGAGCAAGTCAGAAGCTGAAGCTCCACCACAACCCACATTTAGAGGTCAAACAAAAACCTTGACAAGTCCATAATCAGATTACATTCGCAAAAACTTCAAAAACCACGACTCTTGAAACCATAATCTCAAAGACAGGGGGCAAAGCCAGCCAAACACACATTCCCTCAAATATGCCCAAGACTGGCGACATTTTCAAACAAATCTTCGCCGAAAAAAGACCGGGATAGTAGTGGTTCTCTACCCATCATGTCAATCTCATACATTGGGGGCAAAACCAGAATCCCTCTACAAGAAGCCTTAGGGTTGATATCAAAATCTGACTTATCCATCACCCATCTGAATAAACCACACTTCAAGAGGACTCCTACCATCAAAGTCATATCGGACAAAAGCCCCTTTCATGGGAAACCAACGTCCACAACGAAGCCATAGGGAGGTATCCTAAATCAATCACACCAAGGTCTTCCATGTTGCTGCACAAGGAACGCAGTTGGCCACCAACATAAAATGAGACATCTCAAGGTGACCAGAATCTTAATGGTAGCTGAAATGTCGTACACTCAAATCGCCTATAGGAATTAGTGATGAGCGAAATCCAAAGCGGGAGTGAGAGCGATCAAAATCAAAAGCAAGAGTGAGAGCGAGGGCTTACTGATATTCTCATGGCTTGGCTTACATTTCTCTTAGAAAACCAAATTTGGCAATATGACAACTACCACACAAAAACGGTTTTCTCCAGTTTACACACACTTCTCGAAACCAAAATCTTGACATGGCTTTCAATTTTTAATTCTCTAATAAACGTTTTTCAAACATTTTTGCTTTCGTCTTAAGTAAAGATTGATATAGTCACTCTTTGTTCCGGAGAATAGAAAGTGAGCAACAGATCTTTGGAGGCAAAACTGGTACACCATGAAATAAGGGGAAGTCTGAGTACCCAAGAATCAAATTAATCAACTTTCACTCATGAGTTGATGAGAAAATCTCCCAAGAACATTCATATCTCATCAAGCCAACCAGCCAATCAACTGCACAGCAAGAAGGAAGTCCTACTATACTGCACATTCCAAGAGATACACAACTTTAAAGCATGAGGGTCCAAGCGTGACCGACAAGAAGAATGAAGCAATATACACCATCAGTATACCCTCATACAATACCACCACGAAGATAAGCTTCAAGCAAGCAAGCTGAAAATCTCTCCAACATAAGGAGAACCAAAGATTAAGTCAATCAAAAGGAAATGACGATCCCTGGAGGATGAGCAATTTAAAGGAACCCCGGGTTAAAATGCAAAAGAAAAAAACAAACAAAACGACATATTCTCATAACAGTTGCCAAATGCATCATATCATTTTTTTTTTTACTAAGTATTCATGACTTCATTAGCATGACACATCACAAAATCATTCTCAAAATCATTTTGATACTCCTTAAACAACATCATATGTTAAAATGGGTCATGCATTTATTGCCAGCAATTCCCAAAAGAACTCATACGTTTAGTTGGATTTCTAATGTTTGTAAAAAGGAATCACTACAAGATACACCAACTACATTCACGTGAATTCTTCAAGTCTCATGTTTAGCTTTCACGTGCATTTATGACAAGCCATAACAACGGTTTAGGAACGTCCTAAACAAATACCATGAACATACGATATCGGTGCGGGCAAACAATCACGAGCCCTCTAATAGACGTGTTCCGTCGACTATCACGGACATTACAAAAACTACCTAGTCAATTTGTTTCGTCGACTATCACGAACAAATTGGATCCCCTGCTAAGATTTTTCCGTCGACTATCACGGGCAAGGTAGAAATCCTAGACAATTTGTTTCGTCGACTACCACGAGCAAATTAGACCATCTTTTTAAATTGTTCAGTCGACTATCACGGACAATTCAAAAATTACCTAGTCAATTTGTTTCGTCGACTATCACGAACAAATTGGATCCCCTGCTAAACTTGTTCAGTCGACTATCACGGGCAATTAAAAAACCCTAATCAATTTGTTTTGTCGTCTATCACAAGCAAATTAGACCCCCTGCTAAACTTGTTCAGTCGACTATCACGGGCAATTAAAAAACCCTAATCAATTTGTTTCGTCGACTATCACGAACAAATTGGATCCCC